GTCGTAAGTGTGTTTTATGAATGAGATCCTGCTCTGAACTGCTGGTTTCAGTCATTTTTCTTTCTAATCAGAGAACAACAACATATTTTGGGAGTTTGTTCTTACGAAACCGCCTGCCAAGTTTATCACACACACATTTAGTCACGTTTCCGTCACTTCAGAGCATATTTCACTGATTCATTCAGTTTCTGAAGACCTACACGACCCGTAGCTTCAGCTTCAACCAAGCCGTTCAAGTCAGATGTAATGATTTACCTGATGACCTGCTTTTTGGTCAGAATGTGTAAAAACATGAAGATCCTCACGACATGAGCGATACAAGCACACACACCTTTACCTACATCCGCTCGATTTTAACCTGAACAGGTGATTCAGTCTCAAAGTGAGAAACATACAGAAAGTCCTCACAAAGAAAGACACACACCTGCACACACATGTGATCCAAACCAGTGTGGAAACCTCGCTGAGGGAGGAGGAGGAGGAGGAGGAGAAATTCCCAGAAAGATTTTCTGGCTCAGAGAAGCTAATCGCTGAGAACAAAGAAACTGGAAACAAGACGACTGAAAAACAACGAGGGTTTCAGCTCCAACAGACTGCAGAGGTCACATGACCAGCAGACAGACACACACTGACCCTGAAACCATAAACCGATCACGACCTCCGACTGACCGACTGTTCGCACAGTTTCGTGCAGTGAAGTCAAACAGCAGCTGATAAAACATGAAGGACGGAGGTCACGTCGATACAGCGACACAGTTACACACTGACTGATGCTTCGGCTCGCTTTTAATGAGACGCAAAACCACCACAAAGAGCCAAGAAACGAGCACAAAGAGGCATAAAAGCCTACAGGAGGGACAAAGAATGACAACAAAGACACACAAAATGCTTCAAAACACAAAAAGTGACCACAAAGTGACAACAAAACTGAAAAAGAGACACAAAGCCACAATAAAAAGACATAAAAACAACCACAAAGTGACACATAAGGACAAAAAGAGACAAAGATTAAGACAAGGAGATGTCCAAAGGTCCACAACACCAAGAAAATTACCAAAAAGAGACACAATGGGTCACAAAAATGACAAGACACAAAAGGCTATGAAGCCAAGAATTACCACAAAGAGATGCAAAACCACAATAAAAAGACATAAAAACACCACAAAGAGACACAAAGCACAGAAAACCACCAAAAATCGACATAGAGGACCACAAAACACAAAACAATACCATAAAGAGACACAAAGTGACCCTGTGAGACAGAAAACTACTAGAAAAGAAACACAGTAAGGCCACAAAGTGCCAGAAAACGCCCACAAAGAGGTGCAAAGGGCCACAAAAACACTAAATGAGATGCAAAGAGACCACAAATATGCTGAACTGTCGGTGCTTGAAACACTGCAGCTGAACTTCAGTATCAGCTGAGATTAACTAAAACTGAACAAACTGTTAGCTGGTTTAGCTCACACTATAAACAAGTGTATTAAATTCAACTTTTACAACCTCAAAACTGACGACCAGGAGTTCCACAGGGCTCCACACCGGGTCCTCAGCTGCTTTCATCGTAGAAAGATTACATGACAGATAATAAAAATAAAGCTGAACTGGTGGACTTTCTCAGAAACCCAACAAAACACTGGGAACCTGCTGCTGTTGTGACCCTGTGGAGCCTGTAGAGTCTGAACAAACAAACTCAGCCGGACTGTGAAGGTAAACAGGATTCCCAGAGAATAGACCGACGCAGGAAAAACACCCACACGGCCCTTTAAAGTCACTTTAAAGGAGCTTTAAGATGTCAAACACCCGGAGCGAGGGGAGGCCGACGCTAGCGTGAGAGCCGATAAGAAAGTGCTGAGATGGACGAGATCGGTCGGAGGAGGAGGAAACATGAAGCTGCAGAGAGATAAACACACTTCAGAGGAGGAGAGGAAGCAGCTGGAGGAGGATGATGTTATCCAGACCGACAGCAGAGAGACGAAGACGCACTGAAACCTGTCAGATCATCTGCTGGACCGTTCGTAGCATCGTACGACGTCACGCTGCCTTACAGAGCTGCAGCTCCACATTTCATCTGAGGACGGAAACATCGGCCTGAGAAATAACCAAGCAGCAGTGATTCACTCTGCCTGCTATCAGCTGCATGGAGACGTACATTAGCTGAAGCTAGTTCACCTGTTTCTGGGATTTAAAACGGAGATTTTGATGCTCCAACACCTCAGTGTGTTAAATCATAAATATAGCAGCAGATGAAGTGAACCATGATTACACCGGAGAGGCTGCTAAAAGCTAACAAGCTGAGCCTTGTGGGTCTCTGAAATTCACAGCAACTGTCTTCATGAACTGTTTTTCGTGCATAAAGTGCTGCATAGATAATTTTAGAGATCACAATCAGTGATAGATAACATAAAAATAACCATAAAGAGACCAAGAGAGGACCCAAAAAGATGAAAAACAAATACAAAACAATCCCAAACAGCCATGGAGGGACAGAACAACCACGCTGGGATGCTAAATGACCATGAAAACACCAAAAATCACCACAAAGACACAGAAAACAATCACAAAGAAACACAAAATGACCAGAAAGAGACACAAAATGTTTATGGACAAAAGAGGACGTCAGTAGCAGAGTGTGTTAAATCATAAATAAAGCAGCGGATCAAGTGCACCATGATGCGGTCGACATTACACCAAGAGGCTGCTAAAAGCTAACTAGCTGAGCCTTGTGGGTCTCTGCAGCCTCTGAAATCCACACAAACCACCTTTTAATCAGACGTGATTATATTTAATGACATTAGTGCCATAAACTAGAGTAGTTAAAGGCTGGTAGATGCAGCTTTTCCTGCATCTTTTAGGTGAAAACGCAAGAGCGGTTTCAGAGGTCATACTCAGTGTTACGTAACACAAAGTTAAGGCTTTAAGACCACAACAAAATTACCATCAAGAGACAAAGTGGCCGCACTGAGATGCAAAACAATAATCAGAAAAC